TTCTGATCATTACCAAAAGGCAGCACAAACCCCACTTCTGATTATTTTACCAAAAGGCAGCACAAACCCCACTTCTGATTATTTTACCAAAAGGCAGCACAAACCCAGTGCACCCTGGCGTCCCCTCCCAGTTTTAAGGGCAAATTATGTATGGACCCCACCAAGAGATGGGAATGAGCCAGGGTGCTGCTGGTCTCTAAGGCACAAGCCACAGCCATGACTAACCAGGAAACTAGGACAACAGCTACCATTCAACAGCTAATTCAACAACAATAAAAGTAACCTTCACAGTAAAAACGAGAACCTAATTTGCTTACCTCGAAAATAACCAAAGCAAAGCAAGCCACTGAAGCAGGGGTCCCCTGGGAACCCTAGTTTCCCAGCTGGCCCTCCACAGCAGGGCTCTCTCAGCCCAGCACAGTGCAGAGCTGTCACAGTGACTCAACGGGGGGCAAGGCTCATCCCCAAAGCTGCTCCAGAAAAGAAAAGGCTCAGAAGTCCCGGGTGGACGGACCTTCCCTAGGCCTGGCCTGGTGCCCACGCTCCTCCCGGCTGTCCTTCCGATCCTGGGCCACTCCCCCTTCTGCTGCTCCTCTTGGTTTGAAGGAGGGGAGGGGCATGGTGACATCCCTTTTTAATTAAGCCTTTCTTACAAGGAATCTTTGCAAAGAGCCCTGTCCTGGAGTGATTTTGTGTGACAGGGAAGAACAGATCAGCGGATGAGCTTCCAACCATAAACATTCCCAGAGCTGCGAATATGTGCCCCTGGCCACAGGATTACACGTAGGAAGCCAGCACACGCCAGGCTATCATTACCATCTCACCCATCTCCCGCGGCTGACGGGGATCGGGGGAAGAAAGGGCGGGGGCCGGCCGGAAGCCCCTCGCACTGAGGCCACCCCAGGCCCGCAGCCCAGACCACCAGGCCGTGCAGGCTGGCCTCCTGAGGCTGTCCCTGGCAAGCCACCCCGCGCTGGAGCCAGGCTGCCGGCAGAGCGCCGCTCACTGCCGCTTTCTTCACATGTGGTTTGATTGACGCAAATCAAGAGGCAAGCAAATGATTCATAACTGTCCAAGCACAGGGCTCACCCAGAAACGGCAGGAGCCCAGACTTGCTGATTCACCAAGAAACAGCCTTGTGTACCAGAGGCGCTGCTGGTCCAGATGCTCCCATGGATGCCCACGGAGCTCCGCAAATGTGATGGTAGTGGCGATGTCACGGCCCAAGGAGCGACAGCAGACCCTAGCCCCACCACAGGCAGCAGTACAGGGCTGCCATGAGGGGGACATGCGTGGAAGAACGGCAGCCACCGCCCTTGTCTGCACGGCCTGGGTGTGTGCCAGTGGCATGCCTGGGTTCGGCACTGCCGCCCTGTGACTCCAGCTCCAGCCTCAGACCCAGGCTGGGGGCCTCTGCAGTGCCTGGTCCACTCCCTGCCCCTCAGGCTGCCGGGCACACCCATGACGTGAGGAGGCAAGATGGAATGCCAGGACCCCTGCCTTCCAGGAGCTCACAGGGAGGGGAAAACACCCAGAGGAGCCCCAGATAGCTCCTCACGGTGCCAAGTGCCACCCTGAGGGTATGGTGGCGGAGAAGACGCAGCTTCTCCATCGCCTGCCTCGTCTGGGAAAGCTTCCCAGAGGAGGAGAGGCCTTAAAAGGACGGGCAGGAAGGCACCAGGCGGTGGTGGACAGGCTCCGCCCAAGCAGATGGCCGGCATGCTCCGAGCCAGCGCAGGCTGGGGACAGAGGCTGGGACCGCCCTGGGGCCATGCAAAGAACCAGTGTTCCTCCACTGCCAGGGAGGACTGTGCAGGGACCTGACTCACGGCAGACACCGACCCCAACACCGGCAAGGTCACTCTGGTGGCAACAGGGAACCTGCAGATGGCAGACCAGTTAGAGCGGCTGCACCAGCCTCGAACCACAGAGCAGGCGCGGACCCTTGGCAAGTATGCCTTGGAAGTGTCGAGGGGAGAAGGTGTCAAGTCGTGGTCCCGTCAACAGAGAGGCCTGTCCAGCCGGCTCAGCAGCCCCTCTGCCTCCAGCTCCATGTGTCTAGACGCTGGGCCACAGGACAGGGGCAGGAGTGGGACAGGCACCCGGGTTCTGCATGTACGGCCTGTGCCGCCTTCACGGCAGCCCTGATGGACCTCCCAAGTAGGCCGGAGAGTGCTCCATGTGGTCATCAGTGCTGTTCCTGAAACAGCTTCACAAGTCATGGGGACCTAAGTCCCTCCAGCTGGAGATGAGACACCAGTACGCCCCAGACATCATCTGCTCTCCAGACACAGGCCGCTGCCTGGACACTGCCCGTTCCTCAGACACTGCCCCTGGACACTGCCCGTTCCTCAGACACTGCCCGCTGCCTGGACACTGCCCGTTCCTCAGACACTGCCCACTGCCTGGACACTGCCCGTTCCTCAGACACTGCCCGCTGCCTGGACACTGCCCGTTCCTCAGACACTGCCCGCTGCCTGGACACTGCCCGTTCCTCAGACACTGCCCATTGCCTGGACACTGCCCATTCCTCAGACACTGCCCACTGCCTGGACACTGCCCGTTCCTCAGACACTGCCCGCTGCCTGGACACTGCCCACTGCCTGGATGGACACTGCCTGCTGCCTGGACACTGCTCGCTGCCCAGACACTGCCCGTTGCCCAGATACTGTCCACTTCCTGGACACTGCCCGGTACCTGGACAATGCCCAATGCCTGGACACTGCCCGCTCCTCAGACACTGCCCGCTGCCTGGACACTGCCCCCTGCCTGGATACTGCCCGCTGCCTGGACACTGCCTGCTGCCTGGACACCGCTCGCTGCCTGGATGGACATTACTCGCTGCCTGGACACTGCCTGCTGCCCGGATACTGCCTGCTGCCTGGACACTGTTGCCCAGGCACAGGCCACCCCCTAAACACTGCCCACTGGCTGGACACTGCCTGCTGCCTAAACACTGCCTGCTGCCTGGATGGACACTGACTGCTGCCCGGACACAGGCCACTCCCTGGACACTGCCTGCTGCTTGGATACTGCCCGCTCCCTGGACACTGCTCGCTGCCTCGACACCGGCCACTCCACAGACACTGCTCACTCCCCGGACACTGCCACTGCCTGGACACAGGCCACTCCCAGACACTGCCTGCTGCCCAAAGGCCGGCTGCAGAGACCAGCAGAGCAGCAGAGCCAGGGGAGGCCGGAGGGCAGAGAGAGGCCGGGGGCTTGACAACACGCTCTAGGGTGAAGCCACCAAGTGATCAGGTCTGTGTACGAGTTCATTCTTCTTGCAACACTGTCTGTCACCGTGCCACAAAATTCCCCAACCCTGAGCCCCTAACACATACGCCTCCAGCCCTTGGGGAAGACCATTCGAGAGTCAGCCGTGGAGCCTCCCCTGCTCTGTGCAGCCTGTCTTCCACCGCCGCGCCCTCCCGGGCCTGCATTTGCCCCTGCTGGTGGCGCCTGGGACTCTGCATGGCACTAATATTTTGCAATTCTCTTAATCATTCTTGAAAGCAGGGACTGGGTCGTGCTCACCTCGGTGTACCCAGCACCTGGTATAGTGGGGTCTCGAGCTTAGCAGAAGGATCAGTAAAAGAAGAAAACACGTATTCGGAGGACAACCACGCTTCCAGAGCCGAGTCCAGTGAGCCCAGCTTCTGACGCCCCAGAAACAGCAGATTCCCTCTTGTCCCCGGTCTGTCTAGTAAGGCCTTTCCGAAGGCACGGGGGTGACAGGTGGGGAGAGGAGGAGGAGCACCAAGCTCAGTACTGGAGGGGAAGCTGGAGAAAGGACAGGGAAGCCCAGAAGCGCAGACCGACCCAGGTGGACAGGCCCTGGGCCACCACCCTGGGAGGACGGGCTGCCAGCACGAAGGAATATGTTTATGGTCCCTGCGCCGCTGGTGCGAGTCACGCCACTGCGGCCCGTCGCTGATCATCACACGTTCTGTACTCCGGAGCAGGGACCTGGGTCTCGGGGCACTTCCGCACGCTCACCGGCCACGTGCCCACTCGCACCGTACGCACCCCTGGAACCACTGAGGCCAGTTCTAGCTGCCTAAACGGGTAACACAGCCACCCAGCCTGGTGCGGCCACCAGGGCCCTGGCTTGATAATGTCTGCTTTGGAAAGACACTTCCAGAGCTCCCAACAGCACTTAGCAACTCACACAGAAAACACCTGCATTCTACAGCCACTCCATCCGGGCCAGGACCCAGGCCTAAAGCAGCTCCTACTACTCAGGTTCTCAGATCTGCTGGAAACAAACAACTGAAAATACTCTCCGCTCAGCAGGCCCCAGCCACACACCCCAGCCACACACTCCAGCCACACACTCCAGCCACACACTCGGCTCTCCGTGTCTGCTAAGCAGGCCCCAGCCACACACTCCAACCACACACCCCAGCCACACACTCCAGCCGCACACTCGGCTCCCCGCTGGTGGACACCACCTGGAGGCCCAGGGAGTCTGAGAAGTGAACAGGTGCTCACCACTGGCTGGAGAGGGTTGAGTTTTCAAATTACCCCACCACAGACATCAGAGAAAAAAAAGAAAGAAAAAGAGACTGGTATAGAGCGTCAAGCCAAGGGGGGTCGTGACTTCACTCTGAGGACCCCTCCAGTGGAGTCTTCCAAGAAGAGATGCCCGCCAACCAGTATTTTCTACAAGGTCACAGAAAGCATTTGTTCTGGTTTAAAAAAAAAAAAAATTGACAATTCTAATTTGTAAAGAAAAGGAAAATTTTTAAATATAAAAACATATTTTGGGCCAGGACAGTGCCTCACGCCTATAATCTCAGCATTCTGAGAGGCCGAGGCAGGCAGACTGCTTGAGCCCAGGAGTTCAAGACCAGCTTGGCCAACATGGCAAGACCCCCCCTCCACTAAAAGACAAAATTAGCCGGGCATGGTGATGAACAACTGTAGTCCCAGCTCCTCAGGAGGCTGCAGCAGAAGGATCGCCTGAGCTCAGGAGACAGAGGCAACAGTGAGTGGAGATCATGCCACCACACTCCAGCCTGGGTGACAGAGGGAGACTGTCTCAATAAAAACAAAAAACATGTTTTGTACCACATATCAGTCAAAATAAGTGGCCGAAGGCTGTAGTTTGCTTTAATTCACCTTCTAAGGCGGCTCTGGACCTTCCCTCAAGAAACGGTTTTCCTGCCCATCAGTGCAGCTCTCTTCCCCTTTAAACACGAGGACTGCTGGGGCCAGGAAGACCACACTCCAGAAGGCGGGCGCAGCGGTGTGGACCTGAAGTCTCTGCGACTCAGGAGGACCCTGGAGCCCAAGAGCTCGAGGCCAGCCTGGGCAATAGCATCAGACCCCATCTCTTCCAAACAAACAAACACACAAAAAGGCTATGCTGCCAGGAGGAGTGAAAAACCAGAAAAAAACAAAAGTGGAGCTGCTGTGGGGCCACACCCGGCCCCCGGAGGGGAAAGGGGCTGGAGGTAACGGGGCAGCAAGGCCCGCAGGCCAGAGGGCTCCCGTCATGATTCCAGGGCATCTGCAAACTCAAATTTCATAATAGCTTTTGCTTGCAAAAGCAAAGTCCCTGATTTGCTGTTTCTCCCAGGAGACTCTGGAGGTCTGTGCCTGACCAGGAGATGCTCACGTTTCTAAGCCAAAAACAGTGACTGAATAAATGACTCATTAGAGGGATCCTTGAACAAACTGGCACCAGGCACTAAATTCACACTTGATCCGCTCAGCCTTATAATAAAGTCATGAGGTAGTTCTACTACGTCCATTTTACAGATGAGAAAATCAAGGTTCGAAGAAACTAAGTAATGCTCCCAATATCTAGGCAGAAAAGCTGGGGTTCAGACCCGTCTCGTTGCCTCTGAGTCTGTCCTCTCTCCACTGTCCCAGCAGAAAATCTCTCCCTAGAGAGGACCCTGTGGGGGTGCGGAGCAGAAGGGCAGGGGTCGGAGAGCCCAGGGTGGAGCGAGCTGGGACAGCTCCAGCAGCAGCAGAAGCCGGAAATCTCCCGCAGCCCCCACCGTGCCTCCCATAAATGAAGGCCTCCCGAGAGGAGGGGACCTGGGGACGAGAACCAGCCACACCAGGCCAGGCCCGCAGGAGGCATGAGATGGAGGCGACTGAGTGAGGAGTGTCCTCTACCCTCACCACAAGGTCTGGGTGGAAATCGCACCCTCAGGATGAATGGCCAACTCTCGCTGGGCTTCTCCACGCCTTCCCCAGGACCCTTCCCCAGTGCTTCCAACGAGGCCACAAACCGTGAGCGGCCCGTCTGACGTTTCCCTCTCGGAATTCTAGGATCAGTAACTGGTCCCCAGAAAGTGCGGATCCCACCTCTCGGGAGCATCTCATCCCCTCCGCTTCTGCGGAAGAGGACGCCGCCCCCCAACCCCAAAGTGCCTGTGTTTCCTGGCGCCCTGGCACTCCAGCTCGTCAGCTAAGAACCTGGCCATGCTGACAAAATATGCCACTTGAGACACGAGCTGGTTCTTGTGGCATCAACCCTGAAAACATGTTGGTCAAAGAGAAAAAAAAAAAAGGCATCTGGAAATTTCTACCTTCTATTCTCCTGTTTGTAATGATGCCAGCAACCCGAGAGTGGGGGCAAAGCTGAGGTGCAAGTGCCTCGTACTCCGGAGACATTCTGGGAAGCCAGAATGTATGAAACATTCTGAGTCGGCGTGACTCAGCCGTGCCCACTGCTCCCTCTGACGGGCCAGCCAGGGGCACAGAAGGCAGGCAGGTGACCCGGGCATTGCGCGCCTCCACCTGGTCCCAAATGCTGAAGCCTTCGAGCAACTTAAAAAGGGTGAGGAAAACAAGGCCCCGGGGAGCAGGTGCCTTGTGGCCTCTGCCAGAAGGTTCAGGGGACTCTCTCCTGCATGAGGAAGACACCAGGCACGACAAAGACGTGATGCAACATCTGGAACTGCTCTCCACTGTCCCAGCAGAAAATCTCTCCCTAGAGAGGACCCTGTGGGGGTGCGGAGCAGAAGGGCAGGGGTCGGAGACGCCCAGGGTGGAGCGAGCTGGGACAGCTCCAGCAGCAGCAGAAGCCGGAAATCTCCCGCAGCCCCCACCGTGCCTCCCATAAATGAAGGCCTCCCGAGAGGAGGGGACCTGGGGACGAGAACCAGCCACACCAGGCCAGGCCCGCAGGAGGCATAAGATGGAGGCGACTGAGTGAGGAGTGTCCTCTACCCTCACCACAAGGTCTGGGTGGAAATCGCACCCTCAGGATGAATGGCCAACTCTCGCTGGGCTTCTCCACGCCTTCCCCAGGACCCTTCCCCAGTGCTTCCAACGAGGCCACAAACCGTGAGCGGCCCGTCTGACGTTTCCCTCTCGGAATTCTAGGATCAGTAACTGGTCCCCAGAAAGTGCGGATCCCACCTCTCGGGAGCATCTCATCCCCTCCGCTTCTGCGGAAGAGGACGCCGCCCCCCAACCCCAAAGTGCCTGTGTTTCCTGGCGCCCTGGCACTCCAGCTCGTCAGCTAAGAACCTGGCCATGCTGACAAAATATGCCACTTGAGACACGAGCTGGTTCTTGTGGCATCAACCCTGAAAACATGTTGGTCAAAGAGAAAAAAAAAAAGGCATCTGGAAATTTCTACCTTCTATTCTCCTGTTTGTAATGATGCCAGCAACCCGAGAGTAGGGGCAAAGCTGAGGTGCAAGTGCCTCGTACTCCGGAGACATTCTGGGAAGCCAGAATGTATGAAACATTCTGAGTCGGCGTGACTCAGCCGTGCCCACTGCTCCCTCTGACGGGCCAGCCAGGGGCACAGAAGGCAGGCAGGTGACCCGGGCATTGCGCGCCTCCACCTGGTCCCAAATGCTGAAGCCTTCGAGCAACTTAAAAAGGGTGAGGAAAACAAGGCCCCGGGGAGCAGGTGCCTTGTGGCCTCTGCCAGAAGGTTCAGGGGACTCTCTCCTGCATGAGGAAGACACCAGGCACGACAAAGACGTGATGCAACATCTGGAACTGTCCGCTGTTAACAGGTGACGGCAAAAGTTGTCCAAGTCTTGTCCCTATGCACACACCATGTACACCACTCACAAACAATGTACACACCACTCTGCAAACAAAACGTGATGCTCTAGGATTCGCTCACCCACAGTCAGCCACGCGTGCAGGTGCAGTGCTGAGGCCGAGGGCGCAGAGGGAGCCTGACAGTCAGTGGAAGCGTGCGCTCTACAACAGGGCACCGCTGGTCTGGCCCGCAGAGGACCATGAGGGCAGGGGCTGGCGAGTCGCGTTGGCTGGAAAGGCCTCTCTGAGGAACTGAGGCTGAAGCTAGAAAACTCTGAATGATGCTGGGCCCCTGAGATCCGGAGGAAGGGGCTCCAGGCAACAGAAGTGGCCGGGGTGCGGGCCTGAGGCACAGGAGCTGTGGGGCTCCTCAAAGAGCAGAAAGCCTGGTTTCATGGCTACCGCCCCCCAAGAGCAGGATCAGCGCCGACCAGGCTGCAGCGAGCGTCGGGCTGGCCACCGCGAGAGGCCTGGACATCACTGCCGGCAGGGGCTGGAAGGGGCCTCACCACACCTGGGCGTTTCCATCATCAGAACACAAAAGCCCTGCTAGCCAGTAAGAGAGCTCTGCAGGAAAGAAATCAGGAAGGCACAGTTGTAAGCACTGATTGCATTGGTTTTAATGTGACTTATTTAGTTGTAAGTTTAGCTCATTTCATCTTCATAATGGCTGTGTTTGGCAACCCACTTCCGCGAGCGGTAGCAGCAGTGCCGGCCACCACAGGCGGTCTTGGAGTTGGTAGAGGATCAGGCGGCCTTCATGGCATTTTGGAGGAAGCACTGTCACAAAGGGATGATGGGCAGGCTGCCGGGAGTTAGGAAAAGAAAAGCAAAATACATTTGCTAGCTTCTGGCTTGAATGCCTGGGCTGACCAGAGGGGCCACGCAGTGCCGGGGAGAAGCGGGAAGCAGTTCCAACTATGCTGGGGCAGTAGTGCTGCCTCTGGATCTGCGGCAGTGAGGCCTCAAAGGCGCCGAGGGCACTGGAGCAGGGGCCCCCAGCCAGTCACAGTTCCTGCGTCTGCACCCCAGGGCCTCTGAAAACTGGGAAGTCCACGCCACGGCCTCCGTGTGACACTCACCTGCTGCCCATCACAGGCCACAGACACACTGAGAGGAACCCAAGAGGTGTCTGAAGCAGGACTGCCCACCAGGAGAGTGCGGGTCCTGAGCCCAGCTTCAGGGAGCTGAGCACAGAGGAGCCGAGGACACCAACAGCAGGACTGGCTGTGCTTCTGACAAATGTGGTTTGGGCCACTGGGTGAGGGACAGAGGGAGCAGGCCAGGGAATGGGCAGAGTGAGCCAACGCACAGGGGCAGTGCCGAGCCACCATGCTGACCCAGTGATGGCCAACAGCATGCTCCATCATGGGGACCCTCCGCAGAGCCTCGGGGAGCATCGCAGAGCTGCCTCCCTGAGGAATGGGTGCAGGGACACCTCCACTGGCCCCTGGCCCGCATGGTCAGGGGTGATCCTGGGAATAGCTTCCACACATGCTAGGTGACATGCATGAAAGCCCATCAGGTGCCCCTGGGCGTCCGGTGCCGAGAGAGGCAGAGGCAGGTGAAAGGCAAGATGCCCCTGCATGAAGATGGTCCCGGCACCCACAGAGCAGGCCACCACAGTAGGGACTGGGTGGGAGTCAGGGCCTTCAGGATCTGCAGGGGGCAAAGGCACCGGACGGCGAGTGCCCACGCCCCAGAGCCAGAGGCCCTTCCACTCTCCAGTGTCCTGGAGACCAGTGTCCTCGTTCAAAAATAAACACACAAGCAGCTCTCCCACAGGAAGCTGAGGAGAGTCTGGGCTGCAGACTGGGGAGACCCAGGATCGGGAAAGTTTTGTTTTATTGTGTTTCTTAATGTAAGTAATTAGAGTATATTTAGAGGCTCAGAAAGGAAGTCAGGGACATCAGGAAAATGAGAGGATATTCACGATGAAGGAGAGGTGGGATCAAAAGCATGAAGGAAGCCCAGGGATGATTTGTCTAAATGCATCCATCAGTCTACCAAGTCATCAAGTAAAACACATCCCACCCCCACACCTAGACAATCTACCTTCATGGCAACCTGGAAGGCCAGGTTCAAAGTTCAAAGTTCAAATACTGCAGATGGTACAGAGAAAGCGTTACACAGCAAGAAAGCAGGCAGCTGGATGAGCACAGAGCCACGCTGGAGGGGGACAGAGTCACACTGGGGGTGTGAGGGGACGGACCCCACAGAGGGAGGCAGAGTTACGCTAGAGGGGGACAGAGCCACGCTGGAGGGGGACAGAGTCACACTGGGGATGTGAGGGGACGGACCCCACAGAGGGGGACAGAGCCACGCTGGAGGGGGACAGAGCCACGCTGGGGGTGTGAGGGGACGGAGCCCCACAGAGGGAGGCAGAGCTAGGCTAGAGGGGGACAGAACCACACTGGAGGGGGCCAGAGCCACGCTGGGGGTGTGAGGGGACGGACCCTACAGAGGGAGGCAGAGCTACGCTAGAGGGGGACAGAGCCACGCTAAGGAGGAACACAGCCACGCTGGGGTGTCAGGGGACGGAGCCCCGCTGGCAGTGGAGAACACGCAGCCGGGCTCCATGTTCACAGCTGTGCGGTGCAGCCAGAACCCTGAGCCGGTGCTCTTCCCTGCATCCTGCATTTCCTGGGTAAGGAAGGAGAAGCCTGACAGCAAGGGGTTCCACCGAGGCTGGGACTCCGCTAGGTGCGCGTGGAGGTAGAGAAGCAGCGGCGGCTGCCAGTAAGTGTCTCCACTGCGGAACCTGTCACCCAGCTGGTGGGGGAGGAAACCAAGCAGGGTAAAAGGGGCTGAGACAAAGTTGCCTAAAGGTTGGGCTTTTGAAGTACTAGAAACTTCCTCTTCTCGGGAGGTGGCAGACAAGTCATCTCACAGGCTCTCGTGCTGTGGAAACCCCAGGTTCTACATAAAATACACCTTCTGTCACACTGCTGAACTAACCGGCAGTAAGGAAACCCTCCAACAAGCCAGAAATATATAATTAAGAGAAATGAAAGCAACTCAAGTTATGCTGACAGCAGAGTTGAGGGCAGCAGGTGGAGGACTGCACGAGGGTCAGGGCCAAGGTGAGCCCAGAGCCGCAGGGTTCAGGATGCTGGGGCTGGAGTCCAGGGCAGCTCCCAGGAAATGCACACGGGATGCCCATCGGAGAATGGCCTCCTCACTCCAATCCCTCTGTTTCCAAACAGTAAGACCAGAGAGACATACGCTCCCAAGCAAACACAAGCCAACACAGAAAGAAGTGAAAAAAAGGCAGCAAACACATCAAAAGACAGTCAAGTTCTTCAGTTACTCATATCATTAGAAACTGTATGATTACTGTTTCTGAAACTTTTGAAGAAAAGAATCTATTAATGTTTTATCCACTATCATTTTCCCATGTGTGTTTTGATTAAATACAAAGTTTACGAAAATACTTGAAAAATTTTAAGTAATGAAAAAGAGGAAGCAACAGAATTGTCAAAATTAATCATTTTAGGAAAAGAACAAAGTAGATTTTCAAAAATAAAAAGTATAATTGATGCATTTAAAAAAAGAAAACCCTCAATGAATGACTTAAGCAATAAATGCCATGCAAAACTGAAAAGGAGATTAGGTGAATGACAAGATCCTGACGAAGAAATCAGCTGAGCAGAGGGAATCAAAATACAAAAATGCAGGAGAGCCCAAATCCTGTGTTTTGTATTCTCAAAGTAAAAGTCCAAGGATAGTTGAAAACCCAGAAGTGCCACCTAAGGAGGTGTGACAGCTGACTCTGCAGGACTGGGAAGCAAGGGAAGGTAGGAAGGAAGACAATGGAGACGTATTTAAAGGCCACTGCTGCAGATTTCCAGAACTGATAAAAGACACAAACTCACAAAGAGGCAAACATATTCTCACAAGAGAACAGGGTGCTCCACACCCAAACACACCCTGACAAACCTGGAAGCACCAAGGACAAAAGAAAAATGTGACGAGCAGCCAGTGAGACACAGACAGACAAGGAAGGAGTGGCTGCTATGCTGAGGCAGGCCAGCCAAGGATGAGAAGAGTACACTAAACGTGATGAAAGGAGAAAAAGAAAACTCACCTGCAAGTTTTGCCTAACAGTCACTCAGGCATGTTGGTCAAAGAGAGACATTTTCAGATCAGACGAACACACAGGCGCACCGACTGTATCACCAAGAGGTCTACTAAAGCTACTCCTAAGGGGTATGTGTTCATCAGGAAAAGAGAACGTGACCCCGCAGGAGGGTGTCTGATGCAAGCAGGAAGCACAAGTGCACAGGGAGCTGGACACTGACCAGGGCAGGGAATGTCCTGGGGACCTCTTGGACAATACGAGGCTTTTGGTCACATCTATAGCACGACGGGGCAAGTGTCACACTTCACAAGCCACCAGTGATCCATCAGCATAAACTGCAACCGTGCTGGATTTCCTGTTTTCCCTGTGGTCTCCTGTTCCGGGGCCCACCCAGGACCCCACAGTCCCTCCTTTATCTTCATGATTCCTGAGGTTCCTTTGGCTGCGACAGTTTCTCAGACTTGCCTTGTTTTTAATGACCTTGACAGTTTCAAGTACTTGATTGAGTGTTTCCTAGAATGTCCCTTAATTAGAATTTGTTTGATGTCGTCATGACCAGATGGGGTTGTATGTTTTTGGGAGAAAGGTCACAGAGACTAAGTGGTATCTCCTTACATCATCTCAAAGCTGTGCTGTTGACATGACCTTTTAAAAACTTAGGATGGAAATGAAAACGCTAAGTGTCAAAACCTGTTGTATGCACCCAACGCCTATTTCAAGGGAAATGTGTCGCTTATAACAGAAGGAAGGTTAAGAACTAATGTGAGCTGCACATCCAGCCTTGGGAGAAAGAGAACAGCGGGTGCAGCCAGCCACAGAAAGTACCAGGAAGATAAGAGAAGGCATTTAAAACACTGAAAGCTGACTTAAACTAAGGGAATCCACAAAGCCAGAGTGACTCAAAACAGTGAATACAGATTAATCAAGAAGAAGGGGCTGAGTCATGTTGGAAATGAAAAAGGGTACACAGAGACAAATCCAGCAAAGATTTAAACACCAGAAGCAAATCTATGACAATAAAATGGAAAACTTAGATTAAGTAGAACTCCTGAAAACTTTCTTTTCAATCCGTACGACAGGAATTAAAAGGTCAGGTTATTAGTAACCATTAAAGATGTTAAATCAGTAGTTAAAACATCAAATCACCAAGGAAATATGAACCCCAAATAGTTTGAGGTTAATTTTTACAAACTTTCAAGGAATAATTAATTCTAATCTTAAATAAACTATCCCTGAAAGTAAAAAAAAAAAAAAAAGACATTAAACAAGGAAAATTTCCGTCCCCTCCAATTAAAGAACAGAGATGAAGAATCCTGAAGCACTAGCAAAGTATGAAAATGACAAGATTTATCACAAACAAGTTGAATCCACGGCAAGAGATCAGGGAAGTTTAAAGAAAATTCGCACCACACAATCATCACAACAGGCGGAGTAAAAGCATTTGGCTAATGGAACACAGCTATCCACGAACTTCCCTCGAAAAACGGAATCTGAAATAACCTATGTCAAACATCACGCTTAAACTGGGAAAATGTTAAAAACCTTCTCTTTAATGTCAAGGACGACGGAAGCCCAGTATTTCTGCTCTTATTCAAAACTGAACTGGAATTCCCAGCTAGCACAGTAAGACAAGGAAAACAAACACAGGAATTAGAGAGAAAGACACTAAACTAGCATCATTACACTGACAGTCTTTGTCTTAGAAACCCTGAAGAATCTACAGAAAGAAATTTTAGAATGTGTAAGATTTTAATAAGACGACTGGATATAAAAATAAAATACAAAAATCAACTGCATTTCCAAAAACTAGCAAGGAAAAATTTAATTAAGAAAAAAAAATATATTGTCTGCAGCAGAAAAACAAAACAACTACAATCTACCAAAGAGTAAAGAATAAATCTAACTGGACACGTGCAAGACCTTTATGGAGAAAACTATAAAAATCTATTGGAAAAAACACAGTAAAGAGGACCTAATCGAGGGAAAGAGAAGCCACACACACAAATACACTATCAAGATGCCAACCCTCCCTTCAAATTCATCCACAGAGTCAATGCAACTCTAATCCAGTTTCAGGCTTGGCTTTTTACAGGAACTTGTCTCCAGATAAGTTACAGCCTAGGAGGAGCTAGGAAAGTCTCAAGGAGGGGCTGAGACTCGGGAGTGAGGCTGCAGAGCCTCTCAGGAGACAGTGCCCTGCTGGCCCCAGGATAGGCTCGGGAGCAGCTGAGCACAGGGAGGGTCCAAAACAGACCGAACTTGGAGGATGAGCTGGCCACACAGCTATCCCAGAGAAAGGGTGTCAAGTGTCAAACATTATGGTTCTCAAAATGAGCAAAGAAAATGAAACTGATCCCGACCTTGCACCCCACACAAAAACCGAAGGCTTCAGTACGAAAGACAAAACGTCAAAGGCCTTAAGAGAAAATATACAAGGTTATCTTGTTGGCCTTGAGGTAGGGAAGGTTTTCTCGGGGTTGTTTTGTTTTTAAACAAAATACAAAAAAAACAGTAACCACAAAAGAAAAGGTCTGCTTTTTGGCTTAGTCGAGGTGTCATTTAAGAACTGTTTTTGCATATAACTTTTCTTGTGTTATACTATGTACGTGTTTCCAGATCAAGGAAGTCGAGTGAAACACTTCTAAATAACATTTTTTCCTTCTTCACTCACCAAGCCTTTACTGAATTCCAACTAAGTGCCCAGCGCCACGCCAATAAAGAATGAAAACACAGGAGGAGCAGAGGTCTTCTCTTCTGGAGCCTGGAAATCCAGGCTGGGGAGAGAGCACACGTCACGGGGCAGGAGCAGCAGCCCCTCGGCCACTGTGCTGGGCACGCAGGCCTCCTCCCAGCCACCTGGCTCATCTGAGGTGGGAGCCCACGGGGAGCGGAGAGCACCCCCCAAAGTCCCCGCCTGATGGGGCACCAGGGGTCTGCCTGCTGCCTGATCCTGCCCAAACTCTGAGAATGCCCTGGTTATAACCCTCAGTTTCCCTACTGTAAACACTAGTGCACAAATCTGCATAAACCCTCACTGCATAATCATCCTTCAAATTACACCTAACCTCATCCTCTGGATGGCTCACCACTTCCTAAACTTTAAAAAAGCATCGTGATCTTCACTCACCATTTTTGAGTTAGGGAAAACAAACGAGAGAATAAAATAAACAAGGTTCTATCGACTATAGAAAATGTATCTTATTTTCTAATTCAATTATTGCAAATAAAAAAGTCACCAAGAGTTAATATAAATGTACACTCCATTGAAATGGCTTAATCAAAAGACACAACATTAACCAGCAAAAATTCACTCAAGTCTTGTCATTCAAACTTAAAATATATCAACATTTTTACTACATTTAATTTTTTTTTCAAATGTGCACTAACATTTTCCATGTTATCAGACTTTACCCTTACCTAGTTCCCTGTCAGCTGAGCTAATTCCTTAACTATAAAGAAATAGAGCACTCTAAGGCCAGGCTGTGGGGACACCCAGTACCAATAACACGTGACCTGAAGCACCAGTGACATGGGGACACCAGCACCAATGGCGTGGGGACGTCCAGCACCGATGAGTGGCCCATTTTATGTGGCTGAAGGACACCTTCTTTGTGGATTAGGGAGAATGTGGTAAAACTGGAGACCCTAGGAGCCTTCCATATCAGCCAGAGTGAGTTTTGGAGGGAAAGAGGATTTGGAGTGTCAATCTTTAGAAAAATCAAACAGGCAGGGCAAGCTCCTGAAATGAGAGCAGGCACACACACACACACACACACACGGGCACACACACGCACTCATGTATGCACACACGTGCATGCATGCACTCAGTACACACGCACATGCACACACACGCACTCACGTACGCACACACGCACATGCACTCACACACACACCTCCACGTTTAGTGTGTTTTGAGGGCACTGTGGGGAGGGCCGGGGTTCTATAAAGGGCCTGGCCCACCTGAAAATCCACGTGAAAGGCAGCCTCCAGGGCTCCTATGAAGTGGGTGGCTCCACTCATTCACTCAGGAATTGTTCACGGCACAGTAAGGCAAGGGGTGGGGATTTTTCTTTAAAAGCTTTGTCTAATCATGACTAATAGAATAAGTGAGCCAGGCCTCGAGAAAACCGAGGACAAAAGGAAAGAGCCGTTCAGAAGGCAGCGCCTGCCTCCACCTGCTGGTGCGCGCCTGGGACAGGGAAGACGGCAGGTTTTACCAAGCACTTTCAAACAGAAATCCAAGTTCCCAACAAAGAAAACGCCAAATACAATAGTCTCTGGGGTACTTGTTCAGCCCCCTTTTAACTGTGACGCTTCTGTCGAGTGCCAGGGGGCGTTATGAGAAAACTGAAAAGCATGGTGGGTAAGAACGTTCCAAGGCATCGCTTGCCTGCCAGGGCTGGCCCAGGCTGGCCAGGGCCAAGTGCACACTGGGGATGGGCCTTGCCAGCCACTGTGCACAAGCCAGGCCAGCTGCGACACCAAGGGCTTGCTGAAAATAGCCGGTGTTTGTTTACGTGGCCTGGGCTGAGAGCCTGATCGCCCTCAAAGAGGGGTCCCCTGGGTGGCAGGGGGACTCAAGGCACACAGAAAGAGCTGCAGTGGGATTTTCAAAGAAACGTCATCATCTAGAGACCCTGGAGCTCTGGAAAGCAGGCAAGCCGCTAGACTGCCCTCTGGAACTTTGGTTTTCATGGGTGTCAATGCAGCAACCCATGGTAGGGCCCGAAGCCAGCCTGCTGCTCAGGCCTGGAAAATGAAAACAGCTTTAAAAGACAACCTACAATTAACACAGGAACAATTATCTTCCTAATTTAGGTTAATTTCTACTTACAGCCCTAGCTGGCAGGTCGGGGGAAGGGCGATATCTATGTGAGAGCTTTTTATTTGGTTCTTCTACGTCCACACATATTAGATATTCTTAAAGAAGATTTCAAATGTCCACCATCGCCAAGAGGCACTTGGCGATAGCTGGGCCTTCTCCCTGGGAGCTGCCGATTACATTTGCATGAAAATAGAACCTTTGTTCACAAGAGTTCCCGCTCCAGTGGATCCCTCCTTTGTCTGTAGCACAGCAACTGATGGGGCAGGATGCTGGTGTGTGCACACAGCCCAGCTCAGGACGGCCACGCCAGGGGCTGCACGCACAGCCCAGCTCAGCCCAGCTCAGGACGGCCACACCAGGGACTGTGCACACAGCCCAGCTCAGGACAGCCATGTCAGGGGCTGCACACACAGCCCAGCTCAGGACAGCCATGTCAGGGGCTGCACACACAGCCCAGCTCAGCCCAGCTCAGGACGGCCACACCAGGGGCTGCACGCACAGCCCAACTCAGGATGGACACACCAAAGGCTGTGCGTACAGCCCAGCTCAGGATGGCCACACCAGGGGCTGTGATTGCCCACCGTGGCAGGGCAGGCGGAGGACGCCCAGGATGGTGGGTGGGGCCCCGGGTGTTCCGGTGTTTTGTCAGAGTGTGGCAGGCACGGGCCACGGGGCCACACCATCCCAGCCGGATGGGTGCTGCAACGCCCTGGCTCCCAGAGCACCTGCAGAAGCAGTCCCAGGGGACCCTGAGGTCACCTCCACCTGGTATGGCAGAAGACAAGATGCCCTCGCTCACTGTTCTCTGCGTTAGAGCATAAACCCCTTTCCAGCACTGGCTGTTTGTTAGATGTGTGACAAAAAGACCTTGGAGAGCTTCTGCGCTGAGATGGGCAGTGGAGGCTGAGCCCCACTGTCCAACTGGAGTCCACAGCCAAGCAAATCTGACAGGCTGGCGGTGACCCCACCACTCTAGCAAGAAACCAGTACCCCTGTGGGCATACTTGGCAGGGCCCAGAAAATACAGACCCACCAACCCGCATCTAAAATGCATCTCTTTAATTCCAGAAAATCAAGTCAAAGTATCCTGTCCGGGAGCTCGAGCCAAGCAGCGGGTCAGGTCAAACAAGGCGTGATCCACGGTCAGGAACCAGCAGACCAAGGCGGGAGGCTGGGTCGAGAGGATCCTATTTCTTTTTTGTTTCTTTATTTGGAAGGGGGGTGATGGAAGTTCATTACCAGAAGCCAAGGAGGCTCTCTTTCACCGGGTCTCTCACGTGGACCTAGACCGTGCTTTTAACAGCCAAATAGAAACAACGAGGGTCTAAAGCTGGGGGGAAGCAGGCACCCAACAACACTAAGCGAAAAACCTTGCTCAGACCCTTCAGCGGGAAAAAGAACATTTCCGATCAGAAGTTATCACTCAAAAAATAGCAAGCTTCATTAGATACAGTTTTACTTAAAAAATACAGCTGAATGTCCCTATGGACATGAAATGAGAGCACCCACCTGGCCTTCAGGTTCAGGTGTGAGGCCAGCAGCCAGCTCCCCGTAGCCCAGAATCCCTTGGAAATTGACTTTCCTTCCCAGGTACCTGCTCCAGCTGGGTCAGTCCTCAGAAGGCTTTTCCCAAAGGGCATCCCGTGAGGGGCCAGGAGGTCCATGACATATAAACTGGAAAAGGCTCTTCTCGGCAGGGCCCCGCTGGCTTCTCTACTTGGGAGCTTCCCAGAGCTTGAACGTAGCAATTGCCTTCATTTCTCTGAGCTTCCCCCAAAGAGGTTTGAACAGGGCCTGCCCCCCTGCCCTCAGTTTTATGGTGAAAAACTTTAAACACCTTGCAAAACCACAGGGTCCCAGAAAACCCTATTTGAGAAGGGCCCTGCCCTCTACAATCAAAGGGGGATAAAATCTACCCCAGCAGGGGCGGAACATTAACAAGGGCGGAGAGCAGGGAAGGAGCATGGGAGAAAGGTCAAATTCTTGCTACCAAGAGGTGGTAAGGGGTCAAGAGCCAGGCAGAAGCTGAGAGCTGGAGCCTGAGGCCCACCTGCTTGTGGACACAGGGATCCCCAGACCAACACAGAGGGCACCTCCAGGCTTCCTGGAGCATAGCAGAGGCTACACACAAGGCATCTCTGGGCTCCCTCCAGCCGCTGCACCTCCAGCTGCTGTGCCTGGCCATGCGGTTTTCCTGTGTTTTGGGTCCATCACACCCTATACTGGGAAGCTAACCTGTATCACCTGGACATACAGTTTAGGTGCTCCCAAAACACCTGCACTCAGCGGATGGCGTAAAAACCCTGACAGCGAGAACACCAGCCTCCTTCCTCCTTAGAAAACCTTTCCAGTGGGAAAACATTTAACAAGTATTTGCTAAGCACCTGCTAGGCCCCTAGAACTCTAAAAGTAACAGAAGGACTTTAAATCATCCACTTGCGATTTACTAACTGCCACTTGTTAATTTGACAGAGACATTTCTAGAGAGAACTGGGCCACGCAAATACCCGCCCACCGTCTCCCAGCCCACCCTCTGCTGCCTATGGGAGGAAGAGCAGCTCATTCTCACAAGTCAGGCAGAAAGCTCGTGGATGCTCCATGCAGTGCAGGGTCACTGAAGTGTCACATTTATGCTAAAACAGAAGTGCCCCATGATCTACCTCTATCACCTCACAGTGACTCAGACAAGGACCGCAATCACCAGGCAGGGGCAGCCCCTTCCGAACCTGGGCACAGAGCACTCAGTGAGGCTGTCCCTTCGCTATGGGGACGTGGACACTGGCAGCTCCTGATGGGCCTTGGCAGAGGCCCGACTGATCA